GCAGGGCCCCAGTCGAATCTTGGCTAGAGCAATCACTCCTTCCAAAGAGCCCCTCTTTGAGCCTTGTCAGGTAGCTGAGGCTAGGTCACTGATCTTCTCAGCCCTCTCGCTTCAGGCGCCAGAGAACGCTTGGTCACCTCATCCCCATCAACCCATTTGCTTGAATGCGCTGGAAGCCTTGTCTCTTTACTCAGGAGATGAGGACATTCATCTTTTTCCGGCTTTGAAATCAGGCGTGCCGACAGGTTACCAAAACGATATTCCACCATCCTTTCCCTTTTGGCCAAGCTTGCGTGACAAGCTCTAGGACGTGCTGCTAAGTATTCACTTGCAAAATTGGCGTTCGGCCAATGTTGATGCATCAGTGACTCAGCAGCTTCTTGAATATGAATTATCGCAGGGTTTCTGTTTCAAGTACGAAGGCTCTCTAGAGGATGCTAAGAAAGAATGGCCGCTAGGACTTGCTATTGGTAAGTTAGGGGTGGTTCGAGCGCCAGGCCGCAGCGAACGCCTGGTTGTTGACAATACAGTTTGTGGAACGAATGCAAACTGTAACATACCGGAGAGGCAATGTATGCCAACTGTGCGCGATGTGAAGCCTTGTTATCCCTGGCGAGGCGCTTCCTCTATGCAGGCCGCCATGAGCCTGGATATAAAGAGTGCCCATAAAAGGGTAGTCGTGAGACCCTCTGAAGTCGGTCTTCTAGGGTTTACTTTTGACGGTTCCTTGTGCTTCTACCGAGTGGCTCCTTTCGGGGCCGTGATCGCACAACACTGGTGGGGGAGATTGGGCTCCCTCATTCTACGTTTGCTTCATTTGCTGGTGTGGATTTCACACGCAGGCCATCTTTTTCGTAGATGATTATCTGTTCAGTATGCTGGCTGAACTCTTGCCTCTGATGGGCTCTATGATGTGCCTGTGCCTGCAGGTTTTCGGTGTTCCTTTATCTTGGCATAAGCTACAGATAGGCAGTAGAGTGCAGTGGCTCGGGTGGGCTTTCGACTTCGCTGCAGGTACCGTGTCCTTGACCGCCCAGAAACGTCATAAGCTCTTGGCTATGGTTCAGTCCCTACAAAAGAACCCCCGCGTCACGAAAAAGGATTTTGAGCGCTTCGTAGGCCTGGCCTTGTGGGCGTGTAATGTTTTCCCCATTATGAAAGCCCTCTTGCGCACATTCTATCAGGATATGTACACGCCCTACGTTACGCACTATAGCATCCGTCCGGAGGAGTGGTGTTTTTTGCCGAATCATCTCACGGATGATCTGATCTTCAAATCCCAACCTCATGGCACCTTCATTCCTGTTGGAAGTAGGTTGCTGGCAGTGCGTCGTCAGAATGTGCAATCCAAACAGGACTTGGCCTACGTTCGCATCTCAGACCGCAGGTTGTGGCTTGGCATCTCAAATCTTTCAAGCTCCAGGCGTCGCTTGTCACAGGACTCTTGCAGGGTTCTTACCATCTTCGAGCATTGGCTGCTACATTTGAATCCGATGGTCTCGATGCGACCACATATGACTGTTCCTTTTGAAGCCTCTGCGGATGCTCGGGCATCAGGTACCACATGCACAATAGGTGGCTATGTGTGCCACCCATGCTTGGGCCAGGTCTGGTTCTCTGAAACATTTAACCGCTCCGAGTTTGCTCACATGGGCGTCCCCGTGAAACGGGAGATGCAACGTGATATTGCCTGTTATGAAGCCCTAGCTCAAGCCGGGTTGGTGTCGGCTGTATCCCACTTGTGCCCATGCTCACACGTGCCCATCAGGCTTTGCTCGGGATCTGACAATGTGGGCGCGGAGGCGGGTGTTAACAATACCTTTATCACCTCTCGCCTTCTGGCATACTTTCTTGAACGCATTGCATTGCTTTCAGCGATGTTTCATGTTCTCTTGGACGTGAACCACATACCTGGAGCATTGAATACGAAGTCAGATGCACTCAGCAGGCCAGCCGAAAAGGCCCACCCGCTGGATTGCGCACAGGATACACAATTAAGAATTACACTTGCAAACCTGTGGCAGCCTCTTGCGCAAGTTTCAGTCTCACCAGCCTCTGCCACACCTCTGTGGCAAGTGAAGGCCAGCGGAGTGCCTGCCGTAGCCTGCGCAACTTCCAATTTGATAGAACTGCAGGGTTTTGATGCAGCTTGCTGCGCATACATTGTCGCAGCCACGTATTCACGTTCCAGGCACAGTGACCAGTGACCTCAAAAACGTGAGGCAAATCCTGCATGACAACTCGTCCAGTGTGGGCGGGTTCTTGGAGTTCATTCTTGTCAAGCGCAAGGGCGCGCGGAGTGTCAAGCTTAAGGTCATACCCGTTTTGTTACCAACGGTCAGCATAGAAGGCAAACCTTGGATCCCGTCGCTTGTCAGTGCTTTCAGGAAGGTCGGTCTGGTCAGTGATGGTCTAGTCAAGTCAATGGACCCTTACTTCGCCCTATCTCACCCGAAGGCCCTCTCCGTAGGAGTTTAACTTCCAGTGAGATATCCGCCTTCATAGCAGGCTTCCTAAACTTGGATCCCGGGGTGGCGCCCTTAGAGGGGAAACGATTTGTGTTTTCAACATGTGTGTTTCCCCCAATAGCCCGGAAGGCATGCGTGCATTTGATTTGCATTTTCCCATGTCATGCTTTTTTCCTTCATGGCATGTGGCTTGGAATCTGTTCAATGCATGTGTCGCCTTGTATGTTCAAGCTGGTCGCTGTAGCTTTTATTTTGAACTCCCACCATCCTCTCCTGCAACCTCCTGGTTGTTTGTTTCTGTTTCACTGGACTTGCCGTGGTGTTGTGTTTTCCCCCAACTACATTCCGCCGCAACTCCATATCCACCTTTCCACATCACGCTGATGTTTGGACGTATGGGTGGTGAGTTGTACTGGGATTGGGCTGGGGTTTACACCGCGGGGCTTACACCATCCGAGAAAAACAGCTTCTGTGCGTGTGCTTGAGCCTGCCATTTTTACACATTCGGGAAATGAATTTGTATATATTTGAGAGATTCATGAATATATATTTCCCTGCTCGGCGACATGTCTTGAGCTTGAACGTATACGGACTTAGAGGGGAAACTGGGTAGGTTCATGTTGATTGTTGCTTCAGAAAACCGATCGGTACGGTACGGTAGGTAGGTGCGGGAAAGAGGCAGTTGATCAGGGACAGCGATTGTTCTGCGTGCGGGTACTGGTAGCTGTTTCCAACATCTGTTTTACACTCAAAACTTGTATTTGCCCATTTTCTTCAGGTAGGTGTAGTTCAACTTGCGAACGGGGTTAGCAATGTCCTTCTACCAGACGTGCGCTGTGCTTAATTCCAGAAGAGCACATGTTTGCATACCCGCATGGCAGTTCTTCAGTGTGCATTTGTTTAGCGTGGCATTCAGTTGCGTCAGCGGTGTATGCATTCAGTCATGTTTCTTGTTGTGCATTCCATGACACACTGGAGGTTTTTATGGTATTTTCTTCAAATGCTTTTGTGGTTTTCGTTTCGTTGCTGATTTTGAGAAGGTTTCGGATTTTTCAATTATGTGTCTTGGAACATTGCGCTTCAATTCAAATGGGCTTGGCTTAGTTTTTGCGTGTGTACCCAACAGTCATGCAATCATCAGTAACACGCCTTTGAAGGTGAAACGAGGTTGATGTTCCACGGAGTTTCGTGTGCTGTCGACCCAAAAGAGTTGTGCGATCTGGGCGTTTTTTCCCCCAAGCTTCTGTCCGGTGTTTGGACTTTGGATTTGTCACGTGTGTGGCTGACTGACCTTTCATGTTCGATCATAAGCTCACGTTTGATGGATGCCAGCGTTATTCATTTGGGGGCCGCTTCCTTGCTGGGTACTTGTTTCCGTAAACCGTTTGGGGAACAAAGAAGGCGTTACCGCTATCACCAACAAAGTGTCGGCAGCTTAACCTTCCAGTTCATGCCAACGGGCCAATGGACGCATAGCGCCATGACTGGTACTGGCTTTTGAAAGTTCAAGGTGCATGCTGTTTTCGTCGTGGTAATCGTCATAAGAACTACGAAGCTGCCAGTGGAACTTGCAAATTCCATTTTATCCCATTTTGCAGGTTGCAGGCAAGTGAGGGAAAGCAAACATGGTTCCCCGCTGCCACTACTGCTCTTAGGCCAAGACTGTTAGCCCACTACAAGCCTCTGTAGATCGCTTTCTACGTAACGAAACTTCTTGACCTGCCTTCCCAAACCCTCTTGGTCATAAACTTGCCTTAACCCTTGTTCGCTTCACAGCCTTTAGTCCCTGTCAGCCCGCTGTCTGCAGGAACACTAGGGCCACTAGGGAGCCGCTCCGTTGCCCTCCCAGCTGTCGCTTCAACTTTGCAGTGCTCCGGCACGCTAGCCTGCCACACTCAGCCCTTGCCAGGGCCATGGTGCCTTGCACTGTTAACGTAAAAGCTTGACCTTTCTCAGGTCAGCCTCAGCCTGCTGAGCTGAGCCCGAACCCGAATTCGGCCCAAAACTTTCTCTGGTTCTCAGCCTTACACTTTTCGCCAGGGGGCGAAAACGGATGGACAGGATGGCTTGCAGCCTTCTAGCCTCCAAGCCCCCTGAAAGCTACATTCAGAGCAACCCAAGGAAAAAAAAGAGTGCTACTGCAATTTGCTTGTTGTAGTAGGTCTTGGACAGGAGCAGTGCAACCACACAGAACCGTAAAGTCGGAATTGCTGGAGTTGTGCTTGCTGCTTTCACCGCAGCTTCATTTGCCAGACACGTCAAGACAACGCAGGCCGCAGAGCCAGCATGATTTCTAATTTGTGTCGTGTTTTGCATGTATGTGCATGCATTCTACGCATTGGTATACTGTCATTTCGAAAATAACAAGTTGTGGAAATGCGTGTAGTGTAGGAGGATTCCCAAGTTGCGAGCGACAGTGCATGCCGCTCACGAGATGAAGGTCCTCAACCAATATCGCTTGTAACGATGCAGCGGTAACATGTGTTTGTTGTTTCAGTCTGTTCGTTCAGGTTTGGAGCTGAATATCACGGAATGGTGTCACGGCAACGACCTCAGCATGTATGTTCTGTTTCACTGGTTTGGGACGATTGCCTATGCCTGAGGTTTCTAGATTACTCGGAGGGCGGGCCGAACGACCCGCGCACCACGTTCAACGATTTACGGAAATGGTTGACAGCGGTCAAAGAGGCCAGCTCCGCCGGTGGTCATTGCGTTTGTGAAGTGAATTGACAGTTTGTCCTAGGCCTGGAACCTTGCGTGTTAACGGGATCCATAGTGGATGTGAGATTTTGACGACAGGAGCTGTCACCATGGGGTTGGCAAGCCTACGACGCGGAGTTCCGAGAGCGCATGCAGGCTGCTTCACCAGGCTTGACGTCGTCCGCTTTTGAGCAAATGCATCAATTGCATCAGGCTGAAAAGAAGCTGTACGCCATGAACGGTCTCCCTGATAGTGGTGCGGAGCCGCAGGATCGTTGCACGGAGCGCCTGTAAGGGTATACATCTTACTGTTCACCTTTCTGCAAGGACGGCGTGATCCAGGGAACCCCGTTGTGGCAAGAAAGGAACAGCATTCAGCGCATGCCAGTCATACTGCAAATTGATTTGCCGCGCTTAAATTGACAGGCTTGACCAGATGCTGTTGGTGGAGCATTTGAAAAGGAAGGCATGGAAATCTTCGAGGTTTCCTGCCTGCGGACAGCGGGTTTGCTTGTTCGCTTGTTGCAGGTAATGGTTGCTCATACGGCTTTCACTGAAGCCACTGACCTCTTATTGAAGTCGCACGCATGGTTGGTGAAGGCTGGTGCTGGATTCTAGATTGTATATGATAATCTGCAATCTGCGCAAGCCCGCACACAGGACTCGTTACTGGCAGACAAGTTTGCAGAATGCAACTGGGCAGAAAAAGTGCTACTCTTCCAGTGGTAGGCATGTGCTGACTGAAGGCATCTCGCGGGTGCCACCCAGTCAACATGACAGAATCGACCTGCTTCAAGTTGCAGGGACCTTATAATATGTATTCTCCAATAGGTTGTCCCATGCTGCACGTTCATCAGCGATTGTTTTTGCTGGCTCGGTGGGAAAGCACTTGTGGGCAAGGTGTGTTGAGGTAAGCAGGCATACATGCCTCATGCCCTACTCCACCAATGTTGCGTGAAAGAGTGCTATGGTGACATGACTTTGCAGACTGCACAGCTGACATAGAGTTGTCGACAGTATTGACGCTAGTGCTAAATCTTGCCATGGCTTGGGCGTCGGGCCTCACGGTTCCAGAGCTGTCTGCAAGTTTAGGTGCGCTTGTGAACCCTGATATGACGTGTGATAGCTGCTTCATGCTAAGTCCAGGTAGCGGAAGAAGATCTTTGTACTCTGCGTTAGTCGACGTAGGTGCCATCACGAAGGCCCGAAGTTTGCCGACAACGGCTCTCAGTCCCTGGGTAAGATAAGAGAGCTGGCAGGAGCAAGCTGAAGCAGCAGAGCCCAAAGATGCGGTTCTGGCATCTCTCAAGTCCATGGATCGTCAGCTGCAAACTTGGCTCTGGTAAGCTCCGAAGACGGCGGTGTGTGTTTCTCCCAAATCTTCGAAGGTCTGAACTGGACCGTGAAGCCATGGAGAAGGACTCCTAGCTTGAATTGACCCATATAACTTGCAGTGCCACAAAATTCATGCTTGAATGTGCCCGCATGTTTGAAGAGGCTACCCTCAGCCTCAGGATTAGGTGCCTGACAAAGCTAGGATATTCGAAGTCAACGAAAAGCTGCTTATGATGATGGCCGCGGCTCCGAGCTACCCAGCGAGGAAAGGGTACCCACACCTGCAGAGGCGGAGGGTGTTCCTGGTTTGCCCGCAGCTTGTTAATTCAAAACACCCTCAGATCGCTCACCAACTCATGCAGAGCCTTGCCAGCAAACCAGCTCCTCCTGCTGTGTGTGAAAGCAGCAGGCAAGGCAAAACTGGGACCATTTCCCTGCACTCCAGGGCTGGTGACTACGGCACGGCACCGCCTTATCCCATTCAGGGTGCGTGCGCCCAACTCACGGAATGCAGACTCGTTGACTTCAAGTGTGGAAGGTACACCTGCCCCACCCTGGAGACGGCAGGGCCTTGAGGGCACTGACAACGTGACCATCCAAACGGACCATACGGCCGGGCGAAAGTAGTTTCGAAAAGTGATCTCCTAGTGCTGACAGACACATGAAGGGTACATAGCTGACACATCAAGGGTCCTTCGGCCCTAGGCCGAAGGACCGAGGACCTCTCAGGGTCACCGCTGTTTACAAACGCTTGCCTCGCAGGTGATTGGCAAAGGCCGGCACCTGAAGCAAAGTTTGCCAAGCTTCAGCGTTTGAGCGTTGGAGCGTTTGAGCGTTCGTATGTTGCTGTCGGCCCCATGCCGTGCTCCTCCAAGGCCGCAGCACCGAGTTGATCCGATGCTTCGATGGAAAGGGCGCCGAGCAGCAGTGTGGGCCATTGTACAAAGAGGAACACATTTCAGGGCCGCACCGCAGAAGGTTTTTTGGATGTTTGCATTGTGAGAATGATCAAAGACAGGATGTGAATGCGTTGAAAGACGAGGACGACAATCTACTTTCAGGATTGGGCTATGCGGCTTGTCATAGATGAGAAGCTTGCATAAAAGAACTGCTACGTCGGGTTTTTGAGTTTGTGTTCAGCTCTGAGATCGGCCCGCTGAGCAGCGGCCATGCCTATACACTGCAAGCAGCAGTGGCCCTACTCAGGCTTCGGACTTGGCAGCTCTTTTGCCTTGGTGGGTTGTTGTTCTTTAAACCATGCAGGCCCCTTGTTCCTCAGCAAGTTGGCGCCTGAGAGAGTGCTGGCACTGGGGCTCTGGTACCTCGCACGAACTCTGGGAGGCTTGCAGGCAGCGCTGGCAGGCTTTCTTGTCTCCTGGCATGCTTGGAGTGCAGCACATGCTGTGAAGCAGATAGCCTTTGTTTTGAACAACTCCTGACACCACGAGTTCCCATTAGCTGCATTGACATCTGCTAGACGTCAGATGACGTAAGGTAAATACACGGCAGTCGCCTTGCGCCAAAGACGCTGCAAAGTGCTGCTGAAAAAGGATGATGCAGGGCCTGCCAGACTTGCATTAGAGTTTCCTGCAGAACCCGAATTGCGCTAAGCAAGTGGCTTCTGGAGTTCATGTGTAAATTTCTCTCGCAGAGGCACTGCGACAATCGCGGGAGGAGACGAAGGCTGCCAAAGCTGAGTTCCATGAGTACAAGGCAAGGCTCCGCAATCACTTTTGTTGCCAGAGAAGCAGCTTCAGTAGGATGTCATGACATGTCATGAATCCTCCCCTTCAAGGTCCGGCAGCAAATCAAGCGCCAGGACTCGTTGAATGATGTCGGAATTGGCTGCTGGGCTGCTGCTGCTGTTGACAGTGCGGCTCATGATTCGTTTGCAGATAGTTTGGGTAAGTCTTCAATGTCCTCAACCTGCCTGGCCAGCTCGCTTTCGACGTAACGCATTCCGCTGTTTGGGCTTACAGCTTCTGCTGTACATCAGCTTTGTTACAAGGAGTCATTTGCTCCACAATTAGAATCTAATTAGAATGAACACTTGGGCAAATCAATACCTTGCCATGAAAAAGGTGCTACAACGAACTCTCAAGGCATCAGCTTGCTGTCAAGTGCCAAGCGGAGACATTCTGGACCTTGCACACTGCTGCCATGGCAACTATCAAGCCAGCTACAGCGTATGTTCAAAACCTTTTGGAGAGAGCCCCTTGGCATGTTAAGAGCAAGGGACAGGCGTTTGCTTGCAGTTTGCTTGCCGTTTGCTTCCTTGGAGCCGCAGGTGATCTCAGGACGTCCTGCAGCGGAAGAGTGCGCTCATCGATATGTTTCTGGTCTCGTTCAGAAGGTCACTTGAGTTTGCTGGAAGGGCAGGATGTGGTTGTTGTGCCTGGTGTGGTTTGCAGCGCAGGCCTTTGCCGTGGCTGCCATCGACAGTGCCCTCTAGCCAATCTGAAATGGAGTCAAGGTATGCAACTGGCGACATGGATAGCTAGATCATTGTTTTAGAACAGGTACGGCACGGGACGTTGCAGCGCTCTGTGCGGCCGAAGCTGTGAAGGGCTTTGTGGAGAAGGCCATCCTCACCTTTCTGAGTTTCCTTGCCTGCTGAAGTAGTTGTGGTTGAAGGCCAAGGCCCAGACATCAACGGACTCGTCAGGCGGGGCTTGCCTTCAAGCATCTCTTGGCCTGTCTGCCCGTTGCGACAGTTTCTCGACCTGTGGCCAGGACATGAGCGCGAAGTGGCAGCTGCATGTGCTCGAGTGGCTGTTGCTCGCTATGTGGAGAAGGCAGGTCTCAGCTGCATCATAGCAGTTCGGGGTATGGGGCTTAGGGTTTACCTTAGACTCCAAGGACCTTCAGTTTTAGGACCCTATAGTATAATTCTTCATATGAAATAGTAAAACTGAAGGTCTTTGGGTAGAGTCTACGGCTTCGGGCTCGGGCTTTGAAAACCTAAATCCTGAGTAAACTCTAAACCCTAAACCGTAATCAAACCCTGAACCCTGGACAGGACTGCTTCATCCCCTCCCCAACCCTACAGAGTTTGGGGTTTAGGAAATTAGGGTTTAGGGTTCAGGGTTTAGGATTCAGCGTTTAGGAAATTAGGATTCTACCCATGAACGAAAATAATCTTGCGATCCTCAGGCATCTGTGCTGGCCCACGCAGCTCGCTTGCAAGGCTCGGGAAACAGTGACGTGCTCTTGCATGAAGTTTTGTGAAGCCAAATTCAAAACCTTGTGGTGACTTCTTGGACTAAGTTTGCAGGACCGGAACGAGATGAGGCTTCTTCGTGCGCAAAGACAGCAGTGGCGGGCTGGATCGCCAAGGAGGGCTCCTCCCTGTCAGCGCTCCCTCAGTAGCCTGAAACTACATCATGACATGGTTTGATCAGGCATCAAAGGCTGCAAGGAAGGAAAGCGGGCCTCTCAGGATGCTTCAGCTGTCCCCCTTTCCTGTGCGGGGTGATAGTAGTCGTTGCGGTGGTGACGATGGTGGTTTCTGCTGTGTGGTGGTCATGGTTGTTGCTTTTGCTGTGGGCTTGCCAGGGACTGGGAGATTTCACTGAAGTGTGTGATTGAGCAAATGCTGCTGCCACCGCTGCCGCCGCAGCTGCCACTTCCAATGCCAGCTCAAGCTCTTGAGAGCTCGACATGTTCGTGCTGAAACTAGCAGGCTCGGTTTTTCTTCGACCAGGAACTCCACATTGATGATAGCATTGCGATGCGTGGCTGTTGAGTTGCCGGAGCCGTTCTCTGGGACCAGAGCCACTGCGGTTCTCTTTTGACTGTCACGCCCTTGAGTTGTCCGCCGACGGAAGTGAAGCCAACACCGTCAGCGATTACAGCAGCAATTGTCAAGATGGCCTGGTCTCAAACCCGGAGGAGACCAAACACTTGCCAAGCAAGTAGCCATCTCTTAAGCGTGAGAGTGGTCATTTATCCTCAAGACCTGGGGGCAACAGGGTGCATCCACGGACCGCCAGCCAATACTTTCGAGATGACAAAGTTGTTGTTTGCAAATCATGCAACGAAGGATTTAAATCCGGAATAGCTTGATTGTACAGAAGCGGATGCTGCCTCATCTTCAGCCAGCGTCGTAGCGCTCTTCAGCCGGGAAGACGCTAAAGATCCAATCAAACTACAAGTTGCAGCTGCAACCGGACCGGAACGTTCCGGCCTCTAGCTTTAGGCTTGGAGCGGGTGGGCCTGAGCATGCAGCGTTGGTTGAAGTTGTGAAAACGGATTTTGATCCCAGAATGCTTCAGAACGTTCTGCAAAAAGAGCAACTCTCGGCGCCCGAAATGTCATGGCGTCTCAGAGACTTTGCTCCCCACTGAGGCGAAGACGTTGGCAGTAAAAATGTATGCGTCACATTCGTTTTCAAAATATCGTTGTTACACTTGTGCTCTCAGCACAGAAAGTAGCTGTGCCAAGTGCACACACGTGCCATACAATGCATGGCCGCTACTGGGTAGGAATGAGGCAGCCCACTCTGCGACATGCGTCGGCTATGCAAAACATCAAACGTCAACCTCCAGGTATGGCTGAGACAAACACTTGTTCCTCAAACCCAATTAAACTCAAATCCAGCCGTACGGCCGTTCCCACGGCCCAGCAGGAAAGACTTCCCGCTTGGGCCATTCCTTCCGGCCGACACTGAAGGGATGCGGTCACCTTGGCCAGCGCCACTAGGAGCGCAGTGGCCTTGACTCATGTGAGGGTGAATGTGAAGGATAGCACGTGGGGGTCGGGTGATTCCGACGGCCAGGTGGGGGTGTTCCAGTGTTTGACTGCGACGGTGCACCCTACGAGGAACCACGACTGTCTTGCTGAACATACCCCTGCCCTGAGCAGATGATATCTCTTCGGAGAGGGGACGCGGCTCATGGTGAGGACAGGTGTGCCTGAGCCGTCTTGCTGGACACCTTTACCCTGGGGCGGCGGGAACTTGAACTCCAACTGGAGCCCCAGTGACGATTTCGGAGGGGCTGCGAAGGCGGGAGGGATGACGCCTTACTCATAGCTGTCACACCCCAGCTGCTATCTATCCATCCATCCATCCATCCATCCATCCATCCATCCATCCATCCATCCGTGTTAGCCAGTTGGCGTGCCTTAAGCGCTGCAATGCATCAGGGCGATCCTTCCATGCTCGCAAGACGACAGCTGAAAGGCGCTGCATGTACATACCTGTGCCTTTTTGTCTATTTCTGCTCACAAGGCTAACCTCGGTGCAATGTCTGCCGCATCTTCCCAACTAGGCAAGGAGCCTTCCAACTCAGGCTTGCAACGTTCCAGCAGGACCAGATTCCTCCAAAGCATCCGGACAAAATGAACGGCTGCTCAGCAGCTGCTGCTGCTCAGCTGCTGCTCAGCTGCTGCTCAGCTGCTGCTGCTGCTGCTCAGCTGCTGCTGCTGCTGCTCAGCTGCTGCTCAGCTGCTGCTCTGCTGCCGCTGCTGCTGCTGCTGCTGCTGTTGTTGTTGTTGTTGTTGTTGTTCATGCTCATTAGGCTTCACAACGCAACAGGTTTTGTCCTGTTGCTTTTTGGGTACGCATCGCACCGAATCAGAAAGGTTTATTATTTGACAGGAGGGTTCAGTTGTGGAATGCAGTATAGCCTCCTTGCCTGGTGCAAGGTCCTGAGGGTAAAATGGCTGCAGCTTGTGCACGCGTGGCGGTGGCACGATTCGTCGAAAAGGCAGCAAAGATATTGTCATGTCGCCGTCATACATATATAGTACGTAAAAACAGAAATACATGTAAGATATGTAATATATGTAATATATGCAATAATTGTAGTATATGTTTTTATCACATATATGTAAAATGTGTAATATATGCAGGGTAGGTTCCCCAAATGGGCTGACTCCAATATAGACCACAATATGCTATAATCCTTATTATGGGGCCCCCGAAATATAATCCCCAGCTTCCATTTCATCTTCCATTTTCTTTTCCATTTGGTTCTCCACTATTGGGAGGACTATCTCTAAACCCTAAACCCAAATATCCCTAAACCCAAATATCTCTAAACCCTAAACCCTAAACCCAAATATCTCTAAACCCTAAACCCTAAACCCAAATATCCCTAAACCCTAGTTTTGGGGGATTGCAGATGCTTTGCACAGGCCAAGGATGCTGTCCGCTTTCAAGGCTGGAAGCGAGCTTGAAGCGAACTAAGTTTTATTGGTACTACCCCAATCATGGAGAATCAAATGGAAAAGAAAATGGAAAATGAAATGGAAACTGTGGGAATCTAGGGGTTTATAGGGATTAGGGTTTCCCAAATTAGGGGTCCCATTAAGTGGGAGAAAGGGTTACATAGGGCCTCATAGGAGGTTCTGTACGGTATGGGGTATATAGGGTTTAGGCTTGAGGCTTTCCAAAAAGTGGGGTTACCTTTTTGGGTAAAGCGGACTTGAGTCTGGTGCGTCGAAGGTGAAACGAGAATGCTTGGTGCATTCAGTTAATGAAGATATGCAATCAAGTACAGCTAGTCAAGTAGCAAAGAGGCACTTTGCTCAGAATTTGGAAATGATGTGTTCAATAGAATCAAGCATATTTTGGAATTTTTGTTCCCATTCAAGAAAGAGTGATGAGGGAACGTCATGCGTGTTGGAACAATCGCGCGAAAGGTTACGCGGTTCCACAGAGCAATGAAGAAGTTTTTGGCAGCAAAAGCACTTATCATAGTTTTGCCAAGCAGGGGCTACTTACCTTTTTGGGTCCCCAGAACAAGGATTATAGTATGTTGGGGTCTATATTGGGGTCCTATTTTGGGAAACTATTTGTTTAGCTTTGAAAAGGGC